AGACGTGTTATCGAAGCGAGTGGGTCGCTTCGTGGGACTGGGCCAGGCTTCAGCCTCGGGTGATATCTGCGCATCCACCGTACACCACTCTCTCTACGGGGGACCAGTGTCGTCTGAGTGTGGAGTTGTCTGGTCGGCGTGCTTTTCATCTCTATGGCCTCTACACACATTATCGTCTCGATATCTCAGCGTACGGCCGCCACATGTTCCCCGACTGCCGCTGTGGACTTTGTACCCCCTCATCGGCCTCTAATGTACGACTTTTTATTCAGTTCATCAATTTCAGAACTTCGCAAATGTTTCGTAGTTCGCTCTGCTTCTTTTTGGTCCTTTTGATTGATGTAAATCTCCCATATTTTGACGCGTCATTATTGCTAATTTGATTACAGCAGGGGTAACTGGTCTTGGAATTATGTAATCAGGTCGATCTCTTTACTTTTGTCGAAAGGGGTTGCTAGATGGAACCAGTATCGCACTGCTCTCGAGCCAGGCGCTATAGGGGACGAAAGTAAGGACAAATCTGTTGTCAGGGCCAAGTCCAATAGGTGAGAAAGGATCTAGTCATTAGGGATTAGTCTAAAGGGTAGCACATGTAGACCTTGGCCATGCGAGACTTTTGAGACACTCTAATCGCCTGACTCTCAATGGGAGTATAGCCCCAAAAAATTAGCTCTAGAAAAGGAGCAAGAGACAAGCTGAATAACTTCTGCAGAACCCAGATCGTTCCGTTCCCCACTTGGGTGGTTGTAGAAGAGGGGGAGCACGTCCTGCAGTTGGAGAAAACTCTGGATCCAAGCGCTCCCCCTCCCTCATAGTACCTCTATTGCTACTACCTCCTTCGCCCATTGCCATCCTACCTGCCATCTTCATAAACTACCCCAACTTCGTACAAAATTGCGGGATTTTGTTTAATCCTAGAAATCCCCTTCTCCATGGGGCTCCCCAATGAATGACGTGCCCTGCCCACTCACAGGTCACACTTGTCTTTTGATCTGATTTTTGCACCATTATTCCTTGGCTGTACAGACTGATCGGCGCTATTTGCTCCCATCGGAGTCTTCCCTGTTCTCCTCTCCCGTTGCTTTTCTCTCGTCGTTAATCGTCGCGTTGTTGTTCCACCTTATCCCCATGCAAACAGCGTACTCACCGATTTCTTAAGCTCTAGTTTCGTCTTAAAGATAGCTTTTTAGAGAGGCAAAATGATGTTCGAGATTGATGAGGAAATGTTGGATCCCTTGGAAGGGGCGGAATCGTTGCCAACCCCAGTCAATGAGAATTTCGGTTTTCCGTTAGCCATTCAAGTTCGGCAAATTCCCTGCTGATAGAAATCGATGATGAACCGATACATACACCGTCGCCTACTGCTATACAGGTATGTATGAAGAACCTTGGAGTATCGATTTTTCGTTGAGTGGTTACCAGTTAGATAATGATTGCTATTGGGTGTACTTATCACCCACCCTGGTAATAATTACCCAATAATTATGGCTCATCGATGTGCTAAAACGAATTTGAGCCAAGAGCAGTTTGCACTAGAATAAAGGAAATTGGCGCGAGTTGGTCTAGAGGGATCGCCTTCAAGGAAATGCCTATGTAAGTGGTTGCCGAAATGGAAGGTTACCAGTTAGTTAGGATTATAGTATCAATTTTAATTATCTTCTTCCCCCCCCCCCTTCGGTATCCAAATCAACCGGAAAATTCTTTGTTGTGGCTCTTTACCAAGCTGACACTTGACAATCGCAATTTTAGCCCCACCCATTAGTACGAGGGCTCAAAATAGGTTTACAACGAGTCCCCCGAGATCAGTTGTTGCTTTTGCGGAGAGCAATTGTCGCGTTCTCTGGCGACAGAACTATGACAACTAGCGTGAAATCCAATATGCGATATGGAAAAGGCGAGCAGTACTATTTGGCTATCATCGGGGTATTATAGTGTCGAATTTCCCCGGTCTAAACAGTCCAGGTGTTTGGACCGGCTCCAGTAACCTTGAGGCCATTCAAAGGACTCCTTTTGTCGAACTAGAGTTCCCGCAGTGGAGATCAGGGGTTCTGCCCAAGCATTAAGTGGATGAGCTCCGAGGTGGGTGACCATCTTGAAGAGCGATACTGTTAATTTGCCATGATAGCCTTAGTCCCTCTTTTTCCCCTCCTTCGTGCCTATGAGCACCTGCAAGCCTTTGCGGAACTCTAAAGGGGACCTGTCACCGTAAACCTGAAAGTGGTTTCCTCAGCAACCGTAGCCCTAGACTACTCTCGTGCCAGGACCTTCACCTGAACTCCCAGTAGTCACATTAGTTTCTTTGCAGATTTCCAAAAGTCACGTGTTACCGTAAGCCTTAGAGTTCCCTCCCGAGCTACCGTAGTCCCAACTAGCCCTTGAGTTTTTATGGACGGACGATTGTGGACGTGGACGGATTGTTGCGAATAGTGTAAAGTCCTATTTTCTCGAAAAAAAGCTTCCAGTGTTAATATCAACAGTCGACAGCTGATATTTAATAAATGGGTCTTGATTCGCTGATGTCAGCCGTTAGCCCACACTTGGAACTTTTTCTCCATTCCAGTGATGGATATCTACAATAACGTAAACACAGCTGTTTCAATGCAAAACAACACGGAAAATTGGCGCTTAGCAAAAATGTTACACTCTAAAATGTTACACTCTAAAATTCATTAAACGACACGTTTCGCGTTGAGCATGTGGGTGGAGCATACCTTTCATTGCGGAGTCATCATTGGCGCTACCCTATTTATCGCCTTAGGATGGATTTGCGCACCAATGAAAGAGGCGCAATGGTAAGCCGGGCCCTGGAGCGACAAGACAATCCTAATATGCGCGCTGGTGGGCCTGGCGAACGACGCTGTACCGACAGACGAGTTGTCCTGCTTAGCCGTTTGATTACGAGTGCTGAGGTGATGGGAAAATTCGACATAATCGCCGCGCATGAGAGCACGATATGCAGCGCGCGGCGACGTGACAAATTACGATTGTCTTGCCCGTCTCCACGGGGTTCTCACCCATACCTACGAAAACATGCATTTAAATATAAATAGAGGTTAATTAGTGATCGTTTCTACCCCTATTCCTTACTCAGTTACTTCATCCGTGCCGCGGCCGTAGTGAAAGGCTTCCTCACGATTTCTTTGGTGTTCTAGGACGCGTTCTCAACTTCTGTGACTCCGCTGGAAAATCGGGTGTGTGGCGCATCCCGCAGAAAGCGCTGTCCTTTTCAGTTCCTCTGGTTGGAAAATATCAACACCTCTCACTGCGAAATGGCCTCCAGAGTCCGTTTCGCGTGGTAAAGTGCAAGTGGTTGGGAGCAAAGTACGCAGGTATTATTGTGGTTGACCTGTTGACGATAGAATCTCTACGAAACTGCACGTCGCTCGGCCCAAACCACGTGCCTGGTGACGAAGGCGAGAAGTCGCACAAACACATTCCTCAGTGCACGAATACTAAGGGCACTTTATCGTGTTCTTGTCGCGACGTTTTTCGATGACACGCTTATCAATTTGTGTGAGAGCGAGGAAAGCGCCCAGAGAACGGGGATTCTTCGAAAACAATTGGAAAGTGCAAGGACCCACGTGACAGTTGGAAACATTGTGAACAATGAGGGATTGTAACAGGTCAATATATTCTGGAATTTCCGTAATAATTTCTGGTATTCGTTGGCATTCGCCTGCTTTCCGCTCAGAATCGCATTGCCAACTGGACGCCTATAGGAACCGTTGAACGATGGATTGTGGAGAGGGCACGGAGTAGCTAAAGTAACGATCATACTTCGCGACTGGAGCAATTCCTTCGCGCGACTGGGGTTGACGCGCTCCTCCGCTAACGGTTGGGCCATTGCAATGGCCCTCTTCTCTTCTGATTGTGGCCGGAATGGTTACAGGAGGTGAGCCGGATGTTCTCTTGGCGCGAGGGTCCAGAGGTATTTTCTCATCGCATCTTCTGGCCGAGCATTCGAAGGGAGGAAAACAAGGAGGAGGGAAGTGAGAAGGAGTGAAGGTAAAGAACGAAAGAGGAAGAACGGAAGGGGTAGGAAGGCTCCGCAGTTGACAGAGGCTTCACAGCTGATAGTTATCGAAGGCCTGTCTTCCTGTATCGGAGGATCCGGGTCCGGTTAAATTGCACTACAGTCGAAATCTCGTAGCCTTGGGCCCTCTGCGCGTTCTCTGATCACAACCAGTTCTTGTCCAAATAGTTTTTGACCTTTACGAGTGTGTATGAACTACTCTCTACATTCCGCATTGTCATTATCTAAGGGCTACGTGAGATGTGAAAGAGTGCACATTAGGTGCGGTGGAACTTCAGTGTATTACACAGTCCCAGCCATCGCAAAAAGGGTGGCATACTATTTTTGACAGGGCTTTGCCAAAATCCAAGCGAGAGCTGCTCAGCTTGGGGCTTCTGGGATCATTCCAGGACAGAATTCGCTACCCCGTCCCCAACCGCTGATTATAGTCTCCGGGAGTTCCTAGTAGAAAAGAGAAAAAGTATTGAGAAAACAAAATCATGCAAAAGGGAACACCCCGCGTTGGTAGATGCTCAAGGATGCGCCACGCAATCTTCTACCATTCAGACGTAGGGTTGTGATCGATGGGCAATCAAAAGTTAGAAAATGATTCGAAGAAGGAAATTTCGATACGGATTTTTGAAGGGCACAATCCACACTAGTCGTATGGGCGGAGTCAGATCCACAACAGTTTGAAAGCGCTTTGGCCTATGCAACAATCCACGTGTCCAGTCGATGTACAAGTCAAAATTTTGCTCTCTGAGCAGGTCTCTCCCGAATGATGGGGATTCTGTCGGACTGAGCAAAAGTTGATCCGACGGTCCGTCCCCTGAACCGCGAGCATTATAGCTAAATCCGACTGCCACTACACTACCTCCAGCTCAGGGAAAATTAGGGGAAATTCAATGAATTGCGGGAAACTATTTCTTCCGATTTCGTTCTGCGTCCTTCATAGAAACCCTCCCTTTCCAGAAATCATTGTGTCTGAATGCAACAAGCACGTTGGCCGTTGATATCATTGATTCCGATGACGAGCTCAGCCCCACTTCGAATCAGCAGAAAATATGCCTTTGTGCCAGTATCAACACGACAGAGGTAAGCATTTTCCTCGTACTATCTCTCAAATCATTACCAGTAAGCTCAGATGATCCATTTTTTTATTCAGACGCAGGAACGGGGACAACGATCACGAATGTCGAGCCAGAGTGCGATGTTCCCCTACCATACCCATCCGGTCACTGAAGGATTATATCGTCTCCCACGAGGTAGGATAACATCCCAGCTTCTCGCTCTGAATGTCGCTCTACTGATTCCTTTTCAGATCATTGGAATTGGTGAATCAGGAAAGGTGATGGCTTGCTACAATAAGTATACTAACGAGAAGTACGCACTGAAAGTACTACGTGACGGACCGAAAGCTCGTCGTGAAGTTAGCCTTCACTACCTTACTAAGTAAGCTTCTTGCTAATTTCTTTTCTATGAATGACCCACTGTTCGATGAGCATCGAAAGGTGAAAAAATGGCTCAAAATAAAGAAAGACTATCACTTCTGGGAGTAACTTTCGGGGTTGCTGCACCCAAAAGGCAAGTTCGCCGTGGTCGCGTGCGCGGAGTCAGACCTATAATCGTGACTTCCTCATTGGCGCGCCTCTCCTTTTTGATGCGATGAAGTGGAGGGATGCGCCAATAGTGCACGGACGTAGGTCTGACTCCGCCCACACGAGCAGTGTGGACTGGGCTCCTGATGGAACTACCAAAGGCGGGATGAGAGCATAGTCGATTAACCGAGAGGATACAGCCTTGATTAAACCTAGCAACAATATTTTTTGCTCGCTCGGGAACAAATTTCTATTAAGGCATGGCCTCCGCTGCTTCCATCGAAGGCTAATCGTTGGTAAAGAATTCAAATTTGGAATACGCCATGCACTCGTCTTCTACGAATTCGTAGAAGCAGTTGCATGGCTAGAAAGGTTAGAGTGGCCAGTCGGTATGCAGTCCTACTTAATGACTGAGTGTATTTCGCCATGGGTGCATTGGGAGAACTCGTCAAGGTGAGGGTGAGGAGTCATCTCTCAGGTTGACGTGGAGAGATAGGTTGTGTTCAAGGCAGCATTTGTGCTGCCTTAGGGAAACTATTTGGAAGTAGCGACCCTTAGAATCTTTTTTTCCTCCTTGGTAGGGCTCTCCTTCATGGCAGCCACTAAAGCTATTGGTGGGCCCGTGAATGGGGGGTCAATGTGACATGCTTGTTAGGTACAACGTTTTTGTAGTATCAGCAGATAGAAACTCGATTTCGGGACCGAAGTAATGTAAAGAGCACTCCAGCACGGCTATAACGTAGCGCCGTGGGATAATGGCGCTTCAGTCCACCCTTTCTTAGGCTCTAGCTTTTCCCAGGTTTCTCCTTCAGAGATCATTGATGCTTAACCAAGGCATCAACCTGATCAGACGAAACAACAACCTTCAGCGCGTTGCTTGTCTAGCGAACCGATTGTTGTTGACAGTTGCCGTAGCAGACCTCCGCTCTCTGATACCAAGCCGATGTTGTTGAGAAGTGAAAGCGGGGGTCGTGCTAGCTGAAACAACTGAATTTTTCTGATTTAGCGCTCATGAAAATGTCGTGACAATTATCGACATCTATGAGAACACTTTTGACGGAGTGAAATGTCTTCTAATGGTCGTCGAATTTCTTGAAGGCGGTGATCTACTTAAGTCAGTTTGAGAGCCAGGGCAGCAAACCATATCCCGAGAAAAGTAAGTTTTTTTATTTTTATGACTACTAGCACCCACAAAAAATCGTATCGTGCTGGAGCCTGGCCAAATATTCTATACAGCTCACTCTTGCTTGTCCCAGGAAGGTACATACATCACGGCGACTGGGAAAATTAGCCATTCAACAGGAGATCCTTCACCGATATGACCCTCGACCCAAATGTTCAACTTCACCCTCCCTTACTTACCTCAGTTTCCCATGGAAAAACAGAGAAAACTCGAATCGTGGTCGTCTTTGCTTTCCATACAACTCCCTATTGCTTCCCTCAGGAAGGTTTTCTTGGCCAATATTTGGTCCTTCAGCGGGACCTTGTCCACCGGTGTAGCCCTTTCGCCCAAAGATCGGCTCCATCGTCACTGAATTCCAGTTTCCCATCTATCAAACAAACAAACTTCCAAGGGTCTACGGACAGCTAAAACTCAATCCCTTTAATGGCGCCAACTTTCTTCTTTTCTCTGCGCTCTCTTGCCTGGATGGCGATTTATGGCCACTTTGAACCTTTCACA